CCCCAAAACCCCAAAACCCCAAAACCCCAAAACCCCGTTTTGAAGTATCTAGTACTAATAAACTGGAATGAATTTATAAAATTATATAAATCACATTGCGTCATCGTCTCGATATATGTATATTATTAATATTAACTTATAGTTCACTATATTTATTTGATGATTTTTAGTTTGATTCATATTCCATGTGGTATATACATCATTCATTTTATGGTACTCCTTTTTCATTGATTATCTCGACTGACATGTCGAGTTTACCATCAATCCTGATAAAAATAGTTGAAATAAGCCCAATTATCGTCAGAATTGTAAATGCTATCATAGGAATCGGAGAGTCTAATTCAGCAATAAAAGGTGCAAATATAGTAACAACTCTCCCCATCAGTTTAGCAAATCCAAAAGAAGTCTGTGAGTACTAAGTAGGAAACAGTACTGAGAATCCTAGATAAGATGCATTCATGATTGAAGCCATTCCCACTCTTGTTAGCAAGATTATTAAAATTGATATAAATCCATGATGTTCAGAGTAAAAAATTAGAGTAAAAGAACCTACTAAAGATACTGAAAATCCAATAATAAATGATTTCTTTAGTCCAAAAGCCTTAATAAATAGACTAGACAAAAGCAGAAATACTATCTCAGCACTGGCTGATATTATTATATTCAGATATATGTTTCCTGGTAAGTATTTTATATTAAATGCAATCAGGAAATAATTGAACTAGCTTGAGATCACTATACTGGTCATAATGAGCAAATTCATCAGAAGAACTTTATCTTTAAGCATGTAATGTAACAATGCCGTTTTTTTAGGTATTTTCTTCTATTTCTTAATTAGCTATACATTTTTATTAATTTGATGTTGATTGGTTCTTTCAGAATCTATATCTATATTTATATCTTGAATGTTCACAACCTGTTCAGCCATATTCTCATTAGCTTTAATTTCTTTAGATCTGTTAAATCTATCTATATAAGCTAAAGTTTTTTCAAGCTTTTCCAGCTAATTAGTACTTTTTAAGTATTTGGGAGACTCTGGTATTTAATATATTGCAGTAAGTGTGAATAGGGTTGATATTAGTCCAAAGATTATCAAGTATTCAGAATTTTTGCTAGCGTACCAGAAGAAAAAGCTCGAAAAAACAAATGTTGAGGTATTTGCACAAGATATCAAAGTGCCTATATAGTATTTCCAATCCTTAGGAACTAACTCTAGAAGATAAAGATAGCCTACTATAGATCTTCCAGGACCACATAAACCAAATATAAGGATAAAAACGATTATTTAATCAACAGTGGTCGCGAAAAGGATTCCAAAATATATAAAAAGCTAGATTAGATTGGACATCAGGTAAGGAATCCTTCTTCCTTTAATATCTGATAGTCTTGGTACAAACAAACATGACAAGGAATAACCAATAAAATATGCAGCACCTATCATAGCTATTTTTGATCTCTCCTCACCTATTCAAAAGTTACTAGTTGTAATAATTACATGCCAAATCTAATCAGTCAACCCAGTTTATAATGCTTTCATCGAAATCATAATTAATTCTTCTATCCAATCCTGCTCTGCAATAATCTTCTCTCTTGCATTTCATGAATGTCTGATTCGTCTCATTCATACACTCAAATACTGGCTCTAACTCAAGAAATGCTAGATTGTAAATGAGATAATCGCCAGTGCAGTAATTCCAGATCATAAAAAAACATGCGTAAATTTCAAATAATCTTCCTATAATTAAGATGATATCATTTGTCGAAGTCATTACTATGCCGAATAAATTTTAGTTTCTATTTACTTACGTTTATTCTAAGATTTGCTCTATTATCCAACTGACTAAGTAGATATAGAGTTCTTAGAAGAATTAATGGACTCAGCTTAGGTTCTAATTTCTAATGAGTCAATTAATCCATTATTGATATTGATATTTCCAATTTTTTCCTCCTCCTAATTCATTTCTTAATTAATTATTTAAGATTAAAAAACTTAGCCTGTTTTGATCTATTAAAATGCATTCTAATCTGAAATTAATATATTTATTATTGACTCTATTTGCCGTTAAGTAAGGCAATGCGGGGTTTTGGGGTTTTGGGGTTTTGGGGTTTTGGGGTTTTGGGG